AATTACCTATTTCAAAACCCTCATTAAACAGCTTGCTCATCGCATTCACCGCCTCAACTTAGCTCGACCCACTACCAAAAGAGCCCAATACATCAATTACCAACAAATTCAAGCTCGCCGCAATTTACTTGCTCACAACTACAATTGTTTACATCATTATCAAGATTATTTAGATCTTCTTTCTGGTTGCTAATCATTGTCTCTTATTTCAACAGATGTCTCGTCCAAGGCCTCCTTCCAAGGCTTTGGTCTCATCCTCCAGTAAACCTAATCAACTTATTGTCCCTCCTTCTTTGGAGTCAGTTACCCCTTCTTATTCCCTCGACTTGATTAACCGTTACCAAACTCTTGGTACTATTCATCGTCCTGATTATTCATCTGCATTGGCCTCTGATCCTTTTGTATCTAGCCAGTCAGTTTCAGTTACTCCATTCCCTGTTAACCCTGTTAAAACATCTAGATCTGAATACACCAATTCACATGTTACCAACCTGTTCTATAAAGAACCCAGTCACCCAAGAAATCAAACCATCAATGACATTGCTAAATTCCATTTTGGCTCTGGATGCCATTTCACCCTTTCCCATCCAGAAAAAACCCTAGCCTACTACAAGGATATTCTAATCAATCACCATTCCATTTTGATCAAATCAATTCAGGACCGCACCTATGCCTATAAGGTCTTATACCATTCACTCTATATTCACAACATTATTTCCATGGCTGAATGGGGCAATCCTAATCAGCTTCGTGATTTACCTGGCCATTCTATTCAATATAATTACCATGATTACGTTGATGCTTGGTTCAAGATTTTCTTGTACCAAAATGAAACTTTTAGTCATTCTTGGTTCATCTCCTTTGATCAGAAATTCAAATCTGAATTACCCACCTGGTTTCTGAGATGGTGGACTCACTATGGCGCCATTTCAGATATCCTCCCTGTTGATCTCAGTCACATAATTCATTATTTTGCCTCTGTTTACCCATTTTCTACTCACCAACGGCAATTTCCCTTATTACTCATATTTATTGCTAAATACAAAATTCCATGGATATTCAAATGGCATTATGGGATTGATGATAATATCATTATCCGCCAACACACAGTTAAATGGTGGGTTAAGTTCAATGTTCCCAGAATTCTTGAAATTGTTCAAGAAGAATTCCCACCTGATCAATGTGCTCCAACTCCTGCTCTTGCTAAAGCCCAGCAGAACCCAACTGCTGTAGTTACTCAAGGAAGTCAGCCTAGTCTTCCTCCAGTCAATCTTGGAAGCCCCTCATCTAGTGGCTCCAAGCCCAAATCATCCAAATCAAAGTCCAAAGCTGTTGCTGCTCAACCAGCCCAATCAAAGCCCAAATCAAAGTCCAAAGTCAAGGCAAAGCCTATTCCACCTCCTGCTCAGCCCAAGGTCAAGAGTAAATCCAAGTCATCCAAAGAAGATATGATCCAATTGGCCCATCAACTGTTGGATCAAGCTCAAGCCCAATCCACCGATTCAGACAATTCAGATGATTCAGCTCAGGTCCATTCCTCTGAAGAATCAACCAATCAGTATTCAGGACCCGAGTTTCAAGATGCTCAGGATCCATTTGTTTAATTAACCTTGGATTCCATATAAATATAAATTAGCTTCAATCAATACTCTTTTGAGAAAAGCTGCTAATTGATATTTATATTGATTCTTTTACTCACATGTTCCACCGAAAGTGATGAATAGTAAAAGTTACTGTTCACTTTTACTGTTCACCATCACTATTCAACCAATCAACTTTTACTAAAGGCTGATCACCTGTGCAATCACTCCACCGAAAGCAACCGACAGCATCTACTTTGTCCCATGCTCTGCCAGCTGCTTTCTTCAGTCACATGTTCACTGTTTTACGTTTTAGTCCTATATATTGTAATCAATTGTAAGCATTCAGGCATTCGAAAATTTTCTTCCCCTTCATTGTTGCAAGAAAACCCAGAGTGTTCTGAGAGCCTTACAAGCTTCCCTGTTGTACCCAATTAAAGATCCTTACAATTGCTACAATTGTAATTGTAAGTTATGTTTTGATTTAATATGAATGTTTTAATTAATGTTATTATGTTTTAATTAATGTTTAATATTATGATTTTCCTTTTCCAATGGTATTTTGATTTCGTAATCCATCTCCTTCATATATATATAATACGTATGTATTATATATATAATTTTTATTTATTTATATATTGATTTGCCTGAACTAATATAGATTAAAGAGAAGAGTACAAAGTTCGGGGATAAGTAATCCCTCTAGCATCATCATACATTTGGGAGGAAATTGGTGTAAAATGTGCAAACCATTTGATGATTGTAAACCAAAATTAGCTAGAGTATCGGCACATTTATTAACTTCATGAAAAATATGCTCAATTGAGTGCAACCCCAGTTGGTTCAGTAGGTACCTCCAATCACATATGAGATTATTCGTAAATATAAATCATTTTTAGGTTATGGATGGTTTGATTTATAACACGTATATAAGGGTAAAAAATTTTGTAATCAAAAATAATTTTTGCAATTTTTATAATCAAAAATAATTTATAAATTATCAAAAATAATTTATAATACGTATTTATTTACTTTAAATAAATTATATATAATATGTATGTATTATATATATAATTTTTATGTATTTACTTTAAATAAATTATATATAATACGTATGTATTATATATATAATTTTTATATATTTATATATTTACTTTAAATAAATTATTAATAAATATATAATAATTATTTTATAAAATAAATTATTAATAAAATTTTATAATACGTATGTATTATAAAAAATTTTATAATAATTTATAATACGTATGTATTATTTGAATCTTTACATTTTTTATTTAAAATTTTTCACAGTAAACCCATCTTCACATTTTATAATACGTATGTATTATTCAAAAATAATTTATAAAAATTTATAATTAATACGTATGTAAATAATTTAATACGTATCTTCACATTTACATTTACAGTAAACCCATCTTCACATTTACATACGTATGGTTTAAGGCTAAAAATTTTGATAAATGATAAATCAAACCATCCATAACCTAAAATAATTATTATATATTTATTAATAATTTATTTAAAGTAAATAAATTATATATATAATACATACGTTTTATTAATAATTTATTTAAAGTAAACATATAAAAATTATATATATAATACATACGTATTATATATAATTTATTTAAAGTAAATACATACATATTATAAATTATTTTTTATTATAAAAATTACAAAAATTATTTTTGATTATGAAAATTTTTACCCTTACATACGTATTATAAATCAAATCATTCATAACCTAAAAATGATTTATATTTACAAAAATTATAAAAATTATATAATTGATTATTATAAATTATTATTATATATAAAAATTATATTATTTCAATGCTTCACTGTTGGGTGTGTGTGGGTGTCTCTGTATGTCAGAGTGTGGGTTGGTCTTGGTTCAACAGTAGAAACGTCATTTGAATTAACGTTTTCTATAAAAAATAAATAAATAAAAAATTATATGCACAGTAAAAACGCAATTTAAAATAGCGTTTTTTTCAGAAAAAATTTTTATGTTAAAAGTGCGATTTAAAATAGCGATTTCTTAATTAAAAGCGCGTTTTGCAATAGCGCTTTCACTATTCATCAAATTTTGAGTTTCAAACAGTGAAAACGTGATTTGTAATAGCGCTTTAACTTAGTTCGGGAATTCCGTCCAAACTAGGCCTAGTTTGGGAAATAAGATGCAAAAGAGGCTTAGGCCTCGTTTGGAGACTGACTATTTTAGCCAAAAAGTCAAAAAGTCAACTAAAACTAGTCACATCACCTCTCTACTTTTCTGTACATCTTTTCGTAAAAAGTCAAAAAATTACTAAAATAGCATGTTCCCAAACGATGCCTTAGTTTGGAAAAAGCCCCTAAGTATTGCATACATAATTGTGAGCTATAGTGAGAAAACAAAGAATGCTTGACCAAAAAAAATAATATAAAATCACTTGGCTTGGTTTTGAGTTTTTGAGTTAGTGATTTTTATTTTTATATTTTAGTCCCAAAAAAATTAGATGGTCCTAACCCAAATGCACATAAAAATATAAATATTTGTAGAGAAATTAAAAAAATTCAATAAATACATAAAAATATGAAAATGTACTGAATTTTTATATTTAGTTAATTTTTTAAGATTGAAAAAGAATATAGAAAGGAAAAAAATTCAATAAATATATAAAAATATGAAAATGTACTTAATTTTTATTTTTTGTATTTAGTTAATTTTTTTAAGAATGAAAAAACGGAGGGGAGCTCGTCTAGAAAGGAGTGGATTGACTTTTTAGTTTTTTTTTACTTTTTGGCTAGGGTTAAGAGCCTCGTTTAGAAAGGATTTTTTTTATTTTTTTGACTTTTTATAAGAGAAAGAATGTAATGACTATGAGCTGGATTTGATATTTTGTCTTATTGATTTAAAAAGTTTATTTTATCAAACCCAACCCAACCCATCTTTCCAAACAAAGGCTAAGATTATTATACATTATTTTAAGGGTAGATTACAAACACAACCCCTGAAGTTTAATTAAATTACAAATTATCCCTGTGATTTTAGAAATTATATTATGCCCTTTAAAGTTTTTAATTTCATAACAAATAGGTCATTTTATTAATAAATCATTAAGTTAATTAACAGTTTTTAATAATATTAAAATTTTATTTCAATTAATGATTCAGATAATTTTATTAGTGTATAAGTGAACAGTTAGAAATTTTACTTTTTTTAATTAATTCTGCTAAATAAAAAATTCTAACAGGAAGTTATTTGTAATTTTTTAAACTACAGGAAACAATTTTTATTTTAAACAAATTTTAAGAAATGTTTTTGTAATTTACTCTTATTTTAAAACAAAATGTATAATATTTTTATTTTTTTCTTTTATGGCAAAAAAAATAAAATAAAATAAGAGTTCAACAAAATCTTACATATAATAGGGTTTCTCAGTCACAGTGCGTAGTTTCTCTCTCTTTTGCCGCTTCACCTCTCACTTTCTCGACGACGGTTCCGGCCATCTTGTTTCCGGTGAGTCTCCTACTTTTCCTCTCTCTCTCTCTCTCTCTCTCTCTCTCTCTTTCTTCTGTGAATCTCTCTTTTGTGTTTTGTCTTTGTATCTTTTGGATTTCTGTTTTCTTCATTCTTGACTAGCTAGGGTTTTTGGGGTTTCTGTTTCCCTTTTTGTTGACTATTGTTTTTGTTGGAAGTGGGTTTTGGCTTATGTTTTGTTTGGACGACCCAAATTCTGCTAAAAAAAATAGATTATTAATGGAGATTGTTGGAAAATGATTACTGGAAAAAGCCAATTGCTGCTGAAAAAACTAGAGCGTTTTGGGTTTCTGAGAAAAAAAAAAACATTACTAACCTGTTGAGGGTGTATGTATATGTACAATTAATAACTAGAATTGTGCATAATTTGTTAAATTATTTCGAATCATTCTTTTTCTTGTCAGGTTTCCATTTTTTCCCCCCCATTCCTGCTGAAAAAACTAGAGCGTTTTGGGTTTCTGAGAAAAAAAAAACATTACTAACCTGTTGAGGGTGTATGTATATGTACAATTAATAACTAGAATTGTGCATAATTTGTTAAATTATTTCGAATCATTCTTTTTCTTGTCAGGTTTCCATTTTTTCCCCCCCATTCTCTCTCAAAACAAAATCCAAAAGCATGAGTGCTTGCTTTTACTGTTAAACAATCAAAAGCGAAAAAAACAAAACTCTAATGCATGGGAAATTCACCTTGTTACATGTGTTTGTGGTAAATGTTACTTGTTTTTATGGTAGGAGTTACAAAAATTTGTGGTTGAGAAATGAAGCTATGCATTTTTGTGATGATGTACACATTTTATGATTAGAAAATGTTTGGAGAAAAAAATATGTAACATTTGCCACAAAAAAGATGTAACAGATGCATATGGTACACATCTTTTGAAGGGTGTGTACCAGTGTTTCCCCTAATGCATACATAAATAAAGTCAGTAATGTGTGATTGAGCCTGTGGATACATATTACTACACTACATACATATACGACATGTAATTGAAAGTTAGAAAAATATTAAATATTGTGGAAATAATAAATAATTAATCAATTTAGGCCTTTTTTTCTGATAAATAAACAAATTTTATAAAGAAAGTATTAAGATGATATAAAGAATACAAAAAGGCAACCCCACATAGGGGCAAAAGACAAACCCTAACCATTTACACCATCCAAAAATCTAAAAAGATAAACTTATCTGGATCAAACTTCCTCTCCATCTAACTATACAAAACTACGAGAAGACGACTCTCTAACCAAGAAGCATCATGATAAATCTCTTGAAAAGTTTCCTTATTCCACTCCAATCAAACAAGCCACATCAAACAAAACGGCGCCAACACCTACACCCGCCGGCAAAAAGCGAACAAATAAAATCCCATACTGAACAATGAAGAAACAAATGATCCACCGTCTCCACATTCATACAACACATACAACATCCATTTTCTAAAACATGCCCACGCTGCATCAAGTTATCCAATGTGAGATTCTGCCCTAAAGCCGTCGTCCACATGAAAAAAGCTACCTTAGATGGAACACCCAACACCCAAATACTCTTCCAAGGAAAAGTCTTTCCTACTTCCCCTGCCAAACCCCAATAAAATGAAGAAACTGAAAACCGCCCGTTTGCACTTGCACCACTCCACACCATAACATCCTGCCCTACTCTAGCAATCCCCAACCCATGCAAAAAATCTCATATCTCCACGAGCTGAGTAACCTTGCAATCTTGCACCTATCGCCGAAGCTGAACATCCCAAACCACCACACCCTCGTCCCCCAAATAAGATGCCACCATTGACCCCCAATCAACTGCAATATTAAAAATCAAAGGAACGCTGTCTTCCAATAAAACTCCACCACGCCACCTGTCCTTCTAGAACCGCACCTTCCTCCCATCACCCATCCGAAACCCTATCCAATTCCAAAACTCCACTTTCCCCAACCAAATCCCTTTCTATAAACCACAACCATGAGTACTAGTCACATCTCTAGAAACTCAATCCCCCCTTCCCATCCTATACTTAGAAGCCACCACCTTACGCCATAACCTATCTTGCTTCCAAGCAAAACGCCACAACCACTTACCCAACAAGGCTCTATTAAAAGTCACCAAACACCTAATGCCCAAACCCCTAACCCCCTACTTTTTTAGATTGACAGATCTACCCCCAATCAACCAAATGATACCTAAACTCATCCTCTCCACTTCCCCATAGAAAATCAAACGTTAATAATAATCAAAACCTTTTGTTTTAGAAATACACCGAAATAACTCTCAAAATTGATTTGTAAATGGACCATTGAATCAAGTCAGTTGACTGATTTCTTTCATACTTGTGAGAAGGAGATTAGATGGTGCAAGTTGCAAGTGAAAGGAGA